ATTAAAAGGAATATTTCCAATTATTTTCTTATATTTAAAATATGGGATCCATCTCTTTAACAACAACAAACAAAAAAACACCATATGCCCTTCAAAATGCTATTTGATATTAAAACAAATTAAATATTATTATGGACAATAAACCAAAACAATGGAGTAAAACACTACACTGTTAGAAAAACATGCCCAGCCCAATAATCTGGCAGTATGTTGATACGCCTACTTCCAGACTCTTTTCCCCAATGAAAAAAATGGAAGGATTTGAAAGATAATTTATTATACTGACTAAACTGTCTAATTGAGCCTCACCATGTTCTAGACTCTGCAGATGTCAGGGATAATGAGATAAAAGACAAACCTCCACCCTTCAAAAGAACACAGATTAGGTGGGGCGATGCACTGGTAGAAAAATAATTACCGACGTGTTACCACCAAATTATTTCCTGCAGGCAATGAGAATACCAAAGGGCAGCACCTTGTTGCTGGTTGCTTAAGCTGCATCATGAACTTCAACTAGGATTTGGCCAGAAAGAGAGAGGGCAGAAACAGAGTCCATGAAGAGAAATGCATGCACAGAAGAGACAGATGTAAGGGCATGTGAGCACCGCGAGCTTGACCAGAGGAGAAGGGAGCGAGCAAGGACCTCCGGGAGCCGCAGGATCCACTCCATGGGGGACAAACCTGACCACAGCTTCCCTTCCCTGGAAATTAAAGGAAGGAAGGCATTTCAGAGCAAAGATCAAGGCTGTTGCTTACAGCCCTCTTTAGAATGAACATGACCCCATACAAGGACCACGCCTGGGTCAACACGTGCAAGCATGTTTCTGCGATTCACCACCTGAGCAAAAACACAACTGACTAGAAGGTCACATTGATCAGGAACCAAAGGTGTGCGTTTATATGTGTGTGTGTTTAAAGAAAGGTTCTGAGTTACCATTTATTTCTAAGGAAAACCAATGCACATGTAGATTTCAAAGTTCTTCTTTGAGTCAGTCACTGTAACTATTCTACAGTTTCTTCACAAACAGTAACACAAACTGTTAGTTCAGATAGCTTCGGTTTTCTAAGAAATACCAAAACTCCGCCTGGAATCACATTATATTCTAGTACATATTTAAGTATGCACCATTATTAAGAAGACTAGGTGATAGTTTCCATACCATAGACGTGTCTTCCTGGTATCATATTTGGAACATTTCTGGTCTCCATTTGAAATACATATGCGATTGTCTCTTAAAGTTTGACCTTTATTCGGCTTCATCAGAAATTTCATTTTGGTCTTTGTGGTAGTCATCAATATAAGAAATGCCAACTATTCATTTCTCTTCTCAATTCAAATTGAATCAACAAGCCTTATTTAATACTGGTGACTAGTACAGCACTTAGTACAGAGAAACTAAATTTTCCTCCTGTCTTTTTCTATTTACTACCACTTTTTAGTTATGAAATCCACTTGGGAACCAAAGAAGGGAATTCTATTTAATTTCTTATGATTTAAAGTAGGTAAATCATAAATGGATTCCTTAATTCTGAAAAGCCCAGTATTGTTCAGCCAACAGATCAAACACACAATTTCGTTATCAAATACATTCTATTTGAAATCTACTTAGTGATCAAAATTTTAGATGGGGTAGTTCGTTTAAAATCAGATTTGTCCAAAATATTCAAGCCCAAAACATAAAAAAAAAAAAAGATGGAATACCTACCTCTATAGTAGTGCTTGTTCTACAAATAAATCTAACATCAGTCTTCTCCTTCCATATTTGTGAAACAATATATCTGGATGAAAGACTAACTTAATCCGGGTGTAATTTTGGGTTTGTTTGCAAGTGGGAAACCCAGATGTTAAGGGACTAAGAGATTCCTTTGGGAGGTGTGAAGTGAACGATGCAGATGTCAGACACACAATCCATATTATTTCTACTCTAGGGGCACAATCAGAACCATCAGAAATGTGGGGTTATCTTCATTTAGTATCATGGGAAGAGGCAGGATGATGAAATGTGAGGATTATTGAGTCTAGAAGCCCCAAGAAATGACTGGGGGCCCTTTTGAACGGCCTCGTGTTGACTCTCATTTCCTAGGCTGGGGACTCGTATAACAGCACAGAGAAGGGAGAAGGCAGGTTCACACTCCTCCCTGGATTCGGCCACGCTCAGCTAGCCAAGTACAAGATGCAAACAGTCAAGACAACTTGCACAAGAGCCGGGTTCTCCAGGCAGCACAGAAAGTGCAAATTACAAGCAGTGCAGGTTATCCTTGAAGGGTGTCATGTCTACGTCTACGCACCATCTATACCTACACACCACAGCCCAGCAAGCCCAGGGCAGACCCTTTTTCTAAAGAACTGAACCAGATGGTTGATTTTCTGGTCCATTCTAGAGCTCACTTACACGTAAAGGCCACATTATATGACCAGTATGTCTCTTTAAATGCTAGAACCACAGCAAACAGGGTGAGCTGCCCACTCTCTGGGTGAAATGCAGGAACTGGAATCAACCAAAGGAAAAGCCAATTCTCCTTTCCCATCTCACACTGTGTGGGACATTAAGCATTAAGTAAACTGAGGAAATATCAATAACCTCAGATATGCAGATGACACCACCCTTATGGCAGAAACCCGAAGAGGAACTAAAGAACCTCTTGATGAAAGTAAAAGAGGAGAGTGAAAAAGCTGGCTTATAACTTAACATTCAAAAAACCAAGATCATGGCATCCGGTGCCATCACTTCATGGCAAATAGATGCGGAAACAGTGATGGACTTTATTTCTTGGGCTCCAAAATCACTGCTGATGGTGACTGCAGCCATGAAATTAAAAGACGCTTACTCCTTGGAAGAAAAGTTATGACCAACCTAGACAGTGTATTAAAAAGCAGAGACATTACTTTGCCAACAAAGGTCCATCTACTCAAAGCTATGGTTTTTCCAGTAGTCATGCATGGATGTGAGAGTTGGACTAAAAAAAAGCTGAGCACCAAAGAATTGATGCTTTTGAACTGTGGTGTTGGAGAAGGCTCTTGAGAGTCCCTTGGACTGCAAGGAGAGCCAACCAGTCCAACCTAAAGGAAATCAGTACTAAATATTCATTGGAAGGACTGATGCTGAAGCTGAAACTCCAATACTTTGGCCACCTGATATGAAGAACTGACTCACTGGAAGAGACCCTAAGGCTGGAAAGATTGAGGACAGGAGAAGAGGACGACAGAGGATGAGATGGTTGGATGGCATCACCGACTTGATGGACATGGGTTTGAGCAAGTTCCAGGAGTTGGTGATGGACAGGGAGGCCTGGCGTGCTACAGTCCATGGGGCCGCAAAGAGTCGGACACGACTGAGCAACTGGACTGAAACTGATGAGTGTCTTTATTTAGATTGCTTTTCTCTTGCTCCCCTTTGCTTTGTATAAATTTGACAGGCATTAAGCACAGGGGACAGACCCAAGCCCCTGTCTAAGACGGTGGTGTGACTCAGCGACACACGCAGGTCACTGGCAGCACAGGGTGTGCTCAGCATGCACAGCCTGCCAGGCAATGCCGGCTGCTCACTCCCAGCGCCTCTTCTGACCGACTGCGCTTCTCTTATGGTCGGCTGCTGCCTACAGTTCAGTAGTTTTAATGTCACCACTGTGTACAATTTCCTAAATCCAAGAGCACAAAAACTTAGACCACTGACAGAATTTGCAAGATAAGTCTAGATATGTTGCAGCCTAACCATTCTACAAACTATTTAAATCTAAAGAAGTCAGGATGTCTAAAAACAATTTTCTGCCCTCTCTGACTATCAAGGTCATGGTCAGGTGGGCTCTTTCTTTTTCCAGCTCTCCCCACCCCCAAATAAGTGCTCCTGCTGCTTGTCACGTGGGGTCCCGGCAGGCCCTGTGACGTAGCGGATGAGAGCCGTGTGGTGGGAGGCTCTGATGGTGGGAAGATGCTTGTCACATGCCTCTAATAGCCCCCTGTGTCAGGGAACTCACAGAGCAAGCATCGGCACTGAAGGCGGCAGATAACCCTCTCTTCCCATCGAAAGCACAAGCCTCCCTTTGTCAGCTGCACAAAGGCAGCTCGGGAGGAAAAAGCAAGATAGAAAGGAGCTCAAAAAGGGAAAGAAAAAGCCTGCAGTGAAATGAGAGAACAGAAAAAGGCAGAATGTAGGAGAAATTTACCAGGTTCCTCCCAACTGGTCACATCACATTTGGCAAGGAAACAATGAGGCTGTCGTGGAGGCTGTCGTCTCCACGGCTGCAGCTGGGAGAAGCACACTTCCCCCACCCGTGGCCTGTGTTCTCAGGGGCAGATGGATCCCTCCTCCCTCCACGGTCACGCAGAATCTAGGCTGTGTCCAGGTCACCTACCTGGGCTGGGGTGGGAAGGCACGCGGTGTGGTCTCCGGCCTCACTCTGAGCGGGGAGGATGGACCTCAGGATCACAGTGAATAGGCTTCCGGTGGAACCGCAGTCTTCCTCACTTGTTCTTGCTAATGAGAAATTATTAGCTGGCTTCCAGAGGAAGGGCGCACACACACGTGACACCTCAGCATCTGTCCTGCTGTCTGCATCCCAGGGCCTGTATTCAGTTAGAAGTTAGGAATCAGCCCTGGAAGTAAAGAACACATTTAAACTTTAGCTTACTTTTCTTCCCAATCACCAAAATCAGACGGGCTTCCCCGGGGGCTCAAACGGCAAAGAATCGGCCTGCAATGAAGGAGACCCGAGTTCGATCCCTGTGTTGGGAAGATCCTCTGGAGTAGGAAATGGCAACCCAGTCCAGTATTTTCACCTGGAGAATTTCATGGACAGAGGAGCCTGGCGGGCTACCGTCCATAGGGTCATAACGAGTCGGGCGCGATTGAGCACGCACACACACACCAAAATCATCCTGGAGGCTCTTCTCTGTGCTAGCAGGGTGGGCAGTGGGCAGCCTGCAGTGGGGACTTCTCTGTGCTAGCAGGATGGGCAGTGGGCAGCCTGCAGTGGGGACTTGTTGGCCCTCCCCCTCCCAGGTCTTGGGCCTACGAGGCCATCCTGGGTGTTCTTGGAGATATCATGCCAAGGAGCCACATTCTACATGCATTCAGCTCCTGCCAAATCTACAGGATGCGCTGGGCCGAGAGAGAAGCGGAAAAGAAGAAAAGCTCGAATGCAGGTGAGTTTCCTCCGTGAGCCTCTGCCCAGAACAGGTGTGAGAATGAGGTGTGAATCTGAGCTTCCCCCTTGTCACTCATTACCACCCCCCTCCCACAGGTGAGAATCTCACCTTGCTGAGTGTAGATTTTGTGTCTGTAAATCCAAGCCAGCTCTTTCATCTGGAGTTCCACCAGAGAAGCTGTGACCTGTACTGACCCTGGAGGAAAACCGGGCTGGCTTGGACCTGTACTGAAAGATGCTGCATTTTTACACAATTGTTGTTGCTACTCTTTAGTCACTAAGTCATGTCCGACCCTTGCAACCTGATGGACTATGTTATATGTAGCCTGTCAGGCTCCTCTGTCTACAGGATTTCCCTGGACAGAGTGGGTTACTATTTTCTTCTCCAGGGATCTTCCTGACCCAGGGATCAAAGCCGCGTCTCCTGCATTGGCAGATGAATTCTTTACCACTGAGCCACCTGGGAAGCCCCCTTTAAGTAATTCGTTTGGGGATTTTCAGGGGTAGTTTTGACTCTACGAGAATTTTCCCAAGGATGACTTGAAAATCAAACTTGTGTGTGGAGTGAGTCTTCCTAGTGGTTGATGAGAATTTGAAGTTTTGAAGTGTGACCCAAGGTGACCTCCACAGATAATGCTTCTGAAGTTGGGACCCAGGACTAATCCTGTGTTGTCCTTGATCCATGTCACAGTTAAAGGAACATGCTGCATGCAAGCCAAATTGACTTCAGAATTATGCCAATCCTTTATATTTGACTGCAAGAAATAATACTTTAGTCTCCTGTTTCCCCACTGCCTCATACAGCCCAGGTTCTCACCTCAAACCACTCTGAAACCAACCTCTTGCTCAATTCAACAAACACCTATTTCTATCTTGCTTCTTTTTTCCTTTTTATTCTCCTCTGCAAAGACCCAAGTGACATGACTCTCTTTGAAGGGCAGAAAAGGGGAAGAGAGAGAACCTAGGGAAGCCAGAGTCTTCTGTAGCAGGCAAAGAGCGTGGAAAGGGTGGGGAACGTTTTGGAACTGGTATCATTCTTATGCTGTCACACCTTTGCAGGCTCTTGAAAATAAAGCATTTTAAGCCCTGAGGACTGAAGCTAAGATGGTGGAATGCCAGGCACCTACCTGCTACCCCTTCCATCTATTAATACACAAACAGAAGCTGCTGAATATTCCGCATCACTCAGTAGGGTCAGCTTCTTAAGTCCCAGTTCTTTAGTTTGCCATTTGAGATGAAATTGATTTGCCAATCATGCCATATGGACCAACGGGAACTCCAGATCCAATATCATATAATGCTGTAGAGTGGATTTGTTGCAAAGACCTCTCTTCATTTCCCTCTTAATCCCTGGGAGATTCTTAGAATAAACCTAAAACCCAAATGGACCATGCAAAAACCACACCAGACAGGACCAGACTCAGCTGGAGTCCGCCGCCCCGCCCTCTGAGCAGGACCACAGACTCAGCTGGAGTCCACCGCCCCACCATCCGAGCAGGACCACAGACTCAGCTGGAGTCCACCACCCCACCATCCGAGCAGGGGCATGCTGCCGTGGCCAGCTGAAATGTGGCCCAGACTCTCAAGTCCTGGTCAATGAAAACTTCCTCAAACTCACTTCCTGCTTTACATTAAGGAAATCTTACAAAAATTACAACCTGTCATATTATATTGCATCAAAGCATGACGTAATATCATAATTTTTTAAAAAGCATTCCTTTTAATTTACAGTGTTGCATTATACCACAGAAAGCTTGATTTTCCCCTTGAGCAACAATAAATTGTTACAGTGATGGTTTATCCCAAAACTTTGGCAGGCAATAACACATGAAGGTTGGCCAAAATCAAGTATTTAACTGCTACTGGAAAACTGCTTCTGAGTCACCAGGCACAACTCTGTCTCCTCTCCGGACTCAAACTCTATAGCACCGACTAACCAATATGGCGACTGGAGACCTTACATGTGACTTACCCAAACTGAGAAGTGAAAGTGAAAGTCGCTCAATCGTGTCCGACTCTGCGACCCCAGGACTATACAGTCCATAGAATTCTCCAGGCCAGGATACTGCAGTGGGTAGCCTTTCCCTTCTCCAGGGGATCTTCCCAACTCAGGGATCGAACCCAGGTCTCCCTCATTGCAGGCAGATTCTTTATCAGCTGAGCCACAGGGACGCCCAATACCACAAGTGTAGAATACACATTGGATTTTGAAGGCTTAGCACCAAAACAAGTGTGGAATATCCCATCAGGAACTTTTTATATTGATGCGTTATTGTTCAGTCACTCAGTCCTGTCCGACTCTCTGCAACCCCATGGACTGCAGCACGCCAGGCCTCCCTGTCCTTCACTATTTCCCGGAGTTTGCTCAAACTAATGTCCATTGAGTCGGTGATGCCATCCAACCATCTCATCCTCTGTTGTCCCCTTCTCCTCCTGCCTTCAATCTTTCCCAGCATCACAGTCTTTTCCAATTAGTTGGCTCGTAGCATCAGATGGCCAAACTACTGGAGCTTCAGATTCAGCATCAGTCCTTCCAATGAGTATTCAGGGTTGATTTCCTTTAGGATGGACTGGTTTGATCTCCTTGATGTCCAAGGGACTCTCAAGAGTCTTCAGCACCACAGTTCAAAGGCATTAATTCTTTCATATTGATTACATGTTAATAAAATATTTTGAATATATTGGACAAATAAGATGTTTATTAAAATTAATTTCACCTTTTCCTTTTTACCCTTTTAATATGACTGCTAGGAAATTTTTAATTACATTCGTGACTTACATTTTATTTTGTACTATTACTGTTACTACCATACATTTTCATTGTCTCCATGGGCAGGAAGACCAAACAGTGGAAAATTATAAGTAAAAGAGACTTTACATCTCCTTCATGGGTTCAGATAAGAGGCAGCAACCTGATCCCAAAGGGCCAAAGTACATATTTATATATTTATGCATTCAAAAAGTCTTTATGGAACACCTATATACCAGGCATTTTTCTAAGTATGGAAGACAAAAGTGGGGGAAAAATGAAACTAAGTCCCTTCCCTCATGGAAATCTCAACCTAGGAGAGAAAGAGACAGTACATACGATAAGAAATGCTGTCAGCATAATGAATAATGATGCACAGGAAGGGAATGGTGCATATCAGGACAAAGGGTCTTGCTTTAAGAAAGTCAGAGAAGCTTTTCACCTCCACCCCCACCCTGACTCCACCTCACGTCTTATTCTCCCATCTCTCTCCTGCCAGTCAACATCTCCACTCACTCCTGGATTTCTGCCATTCCATGTCACCTTCCGGTTCTTGCAAAGACTGGCCCTGAACCTGGGTCTTCAGAAAACTGAGTTTCCAAAATGACTAATCCCAAAATGACAGGTCCCTAACCCGCTTTCTCGGTCTAAATGCCCATTTCTCTGCACTGAGTTGTCCCTTAAAAGCCTGGCAGTACATGGCTCAATCTTACTAGTACAGTGCCCGTAACTCCCACTCTTTGCCCCTACAAGCAAATCATCTGCAGAATGTCTGAGGACAGAAAGTGTTCATCAACAGTGAGACTTCTGATTCTGGAGCAGGAAGAGAAGGAAAACGTATTATGGAATTTCCCTGGTGGCACAGTGGATAAGAATCCACCTGCCAGTGCAGGGGACAAGGGCTAGACCTCTGGTCCGGGAAGATCCCACACGCCTCAGAGCAGCTAAGCCCCTGCGCCACAATACAGAGCCCGCGAGCCGCAAATCCTGAGCCCGCGTGCCCCAACTACTGAAGCCCCTGCACCTGGAGCCCATGCTCGAGCAAGAGAAGGCACCGCGATGAGAAACCCGCGCACCACAGCCAAGAGTAGCCCCCGCTCGTCGCAACTAGAGAAAGCCCACTCGCAGCAACAAAGACCCAGCATGGCCAAAAATAAATAGTAATGTCTGAAAAAGTGAATGTATGATGATGTATTATGCAAAGCCAGGAACCTCAGAACAAGCTTTCTCCTTCTGGCTCTGCTGAGACCTGGGGCCTGGTAATTCTGCAATGGGGGAGGGGAGGGGTTTGCCCTGTGCTCGCAGGGTCCCAGCAGCACCCCGGCCTCTGCCTGTCCACAGCAGCGGCACCCCTGTTGTGCCAGCTGAAACAGGTCTCCAGACATTGTCAAGTGTTTCCTGGGGAACAAAGCCACCTTTGCTTGAGAGCTGCAGCCATAGAGATGCCCAACCAAAGCCTGCCATTCGCAATATATGCCATTCTGAGACCCTTCCCAAGAAGATGTTTCTGCTCTGACACATCAGCGTTTCTCTGCTGAACCTGCAGTTTAAAAACAATTAGTGTCCGGAGGGCTTGCATCTAGGGGACTGCAGCAGAGACCAGCCCCCAGCTCACAGCAGCACACAAAATGGCATTCTCCCAGAGCTCAGTCGATCCACCTAAATGTCTCCTCTTGTCTAGTGGGCTCGAATTTGCTTGGGTCTGAGAACTTCACACTTTTCCTAGGAAGCACAAGAAAAACAATTTTGGATATCACAGACTTCCTGGCTTTTTATCTTCAGAGACTAACACAGTGAAAATAAAAACTAGCTTTTCTTTAGCATCCTATAATCTGTTTTCACAATCCCTTCCTGGTGACTCAGTTGTTTGTGTCAGGGTTTCTCAACCTCTGTGTTATTGGCATTGTTGTTCTGTGGCTCAGTCGTGTCTGACTCTTTGTGAACCCATGGAATGCAGCACGCCAGGCTTCCCTGTCTTTCACTGTCTCCGAGTTAGCTCAAACTCATGTCCATTGAGTCGATGATGCCATTCAACCATCTCATCCTCTGTCGCCCCCTCCAACCAAGTAATTTTTTCTGATGGGGGCCATCCTGTGCATGGTGGGATCTTTAGCTGCATCACTGGCTTCTACCCACCAAATACCCCCAGATCTGATAGTCAAAAATGTCTCTAACAGACTTCCCTGGCGGTCCAGTGGTTCAGGACCCACCTTGCAATGCAGGGGGTGTGGGTTCGATCCCTGGTGGAGGAACTAAGATCCCACCTGCCGAGAAGCAGCCAAGCCCGGGCCCTACAACTACTGACCTTGAGCACCACAGCCAGACGGTCCTTGCACTGCGAGGAAGGGTCTCAAGTGCCGCAATTAAGACCCAAGCAACCGAGTAAACAAGCTTCTTAAGACGCCTGTAAATGAACCCTAGAAACAAAAGTGCACCCAGGTTGAG